CTAAACACGTGACAAATTATGTCATTATCTGTTTCAAAATAGTCAGATCTCTACACGTAATCGGAATAGAATTTGAAACCGTTGCTTTTGTTTGGACTGTCATACAAACTAGCGGAAATGGTAGGATAAATGGTGATAAAAGGCTTCACTTATGGCGGACATATTGCATTATCTATACACATTTGCTAGCGATGTTTAAGGGCATCGGTGCTTATTTTAAAGAAGTCCTTTTCTTGGCCATCCATTGCATTGGCGTCATAATCTGACCGAAAGTGGGTAACAGTAATGACATTTTTTTTTAAATTTTTGAAATAGATAAAAGTTTTATGGCGAATAAGGCGGATGCTCCATCAATTCAAAGCCACAAACATTAATGGCAGCAATGGCAATGACAGACTTGGGATCAGGCGTTGTCCTGTTGGAACAGCACACCTTTACTGAATTTTCTACAGCACTTGAGTTTAATGTTTTCTCTTAACTGCCTAAGAAGCTATGCATAATATGTGTCATTGATTGATTGCGCCTTTTGTAGATAATCTACCATCAGAATACCATCAGCATCCCAGAAAACCGAGGCCATAACCTTTCCATCTGATGGAACAGTCTTTGCCTTCTTTGACGGTGATGAACCATGGTGCTTCCATTGTTCAGACTGTTGTTTGGCCTCTGGGGTGAAATCATGGAAAGAAAGTTAGAAGGATATGCCTCTGAAAAGATTAGCACGCGACAAAGTCCGCCTGGTGTGTTTTTGATCAACTGTCAGAAGTCTTGGTACTCCACGGACTGAGAGCTTTTTCATTGCAAGATATTCTGTAAGAATAGAATGTACTCTTTCCTGTGAAATCTCAGCTGTACTGACTATATATCTCTCTCCATAACTCGCCTGTCAGCAAAAACAATATCATGGACTTTATTGACCATTCAGGTTGCAAACTTTCAGGACGGGCGTCATCCCGATATTTCTGCCTGTCACGCTTAAATTCCGCCACCAAGCTTTTCAATGTAGCATATGAAGGGGTATCCTTCCCGTATGTTACTATTATAATAGAATAGATAACCTTAGGTGTTTCTTATGGGAATATTGAATCACTGCTCAGCAATTGTGTCCACTTTGCAAAAGTCACGTGCCTTGTTTATTTTAGAGTGCTACCTCTTCGACATAAACCGACCGAATGACATCAGTCATCCGGTACACAGCCCTAAATAGTCAGAGAATAGTAGAGCTGAAAAAGGGCATCCTTGCTTAATTTCTTCAATACAAGGCTCACAACTTATCAAGCAGCCTTCGTATTTGAGTTATGGTATTGAATTCCCTTTCAGTACCGGTTAAATATCTAGATGTGAATCACCGCTATACTAGAAATTATTTACAACCCAGAAAAATGACAAACAGAAAGAACCATCCTGGGTTTTTTCCGAAGGTTTGACGACAGGAGGAAACGCACACACCATTTTCCGCTGGAAAAAGTTAATTGCAGTTTTGGAGAAATAGCATCATTAAAGCGACACACCGTTAAAGATGCGTCACTCAACGCCTTTCTTCCCTCTTAGCTATAATAAACTGTTAAAACAAGACAATTTGGCGAATTACAATCCTCTACCAACACACCAAGGTGAACCGATACACCATGTATGAAGTCGTCGTGATCAGTACTGTAGGAGATGGGGCATAGAAAAACCTTTTGTTTGATGTCGGTCAAGGTCAAAATGTTGGTCAGGGCGACTTACCTTTTAATACGTGACATACCGCTTTAGCAAACGTTAACCCATACCCCAAGTATGATGTTCAAGTGACAAGTGGCATAAGATATAGGGTCTGGACAAAATAGCGGAAAGGTGCACGGAAGGACGGATATACGGACGGACGGCAAATCTATAGACCCCCTTCCACCCGGGAACTGGTGGGGGATTAACAATGGGAGTAGCAAAACTTTGTGTCACACTCTATGAAGAATCTTTTGCATTATTACAAAATTACAAATTACGCACATTTTCTTTTTTTCTTTTATTGATAAATTTATACCCGTATGGGAGCTATACCGGATGTAGTACTTAAAGAAACGGTAAGAACGTGCCAGCAGGCCATACGAGAGGTTAGATGAAAATGCACTCTAGCAGATATTGCACACGATTCTTTTGGTCGTCTGCTTACATATTTCCAAGTGCTTGCAAACCTTAAACCCGACTGCATATTGAGAAGACAAGTAAAAAAAAAAAGACGCGTGAAAATGGCATTGAACTGTGTGGTTTAAACCCCTTAGAACATACTTGCCATACAATATGTGTACCCTCTGTACATTTTGTGTAAGTCAAGACCAAAACGGTTTTTGTAGGATTTCCTACAATTGTCATATTTTAACATAGGAGGAGGGACTGTCGACTTCGTGGGAGTGCTTATGGCAGGTTGTGGATGTATCCTGTTTATATGCTTGCTTTTCTTCTTTGTGATATATGGGAAACCTTCACCTGGGCATTTTCTAACGTTGTCGGATACAATCTCCACGTCAGCCCAAGTGTCAAGTTAAACAGATGATAAATATATGCTCTGAAACAACAAACAATTACAATATTTCTCTCTCTATAAATAAATACAAGATGGGTGTACAGGTGCAAAATCAAGTCGTTGACTTCTGCGCGTTGGTTAGCCCTGCGCATGACATTGACCGGACGTCTTTCATGTAGAAAAGGGTCTTTTTTTAGTATAAAAACAATTATTACCGATTCATTTGTATCTCCTGTTCTGATTTACCCTGGTCCGACAATCATGGAGGAAAGCGTAAAGGACTATTCTATCAGATGGATCGGGCCAGAGTAAACCACATTGTAGTCCTGTAATATAAGCCTTTGTAGGGCACCATTGTTGTGTGAACCGCATAGTCTAATCGATACACGTCGCAAATCCCCAAAGTTTCCGACTGGAAAAATTGGCGTAGGTCCTATGTCAAACGTAAACCGTATGCAAAAAATAAGAAAGATCCTGGCAACGATGATTCATTACCGAATCATTAAAATCATTTAGCTTTATATGGAGATGAGAATATTAGGTATCTAGCTCATTTTAGGTCCATGTCCAATCAATATGTCGTACACGTCATTTTTCTCAAGCTGCTGTATACTTTCAAAAAACTTTTCGATTTTGACGCCAATTTGAATCATCGCTTGGAATAAATTACAATCTAGTCCGTTAATATTGGAAAAGAAACGACATGATCAGCATAGATCGAGCTAAAAATGGATGTCCAAATGGGATATGAAGTTGAAAGCCCCAATGCTGTGTAGGTACCAGATGGCTTGTATATAAAAAGCGATATGGAAGATATGCCACTCAGTCGGCAATATTTTTGGTTGTGCTGACTGCGGAAACCGTTATAAATCAACATATCAAACCCGGTTCATGTGTGATCTTTAAAAGTATAGTAATTTCCCGAAATCTTACCTTCGAATGGCCTGCTAGCAAACTTGCCAATTAGTACCAATATCCGGTGTCGCTTCCATACGGTGTTTATGTAACTTAAATTATCCTGACAAAAGTATGGATTTGTCAGTAATTCTACGTGAAGGGTAGATCACTTTACTTAAATAATGACATAACTCCTACAGTAGTTTATATATATTACTCAAAAATTTAAGACTACGGATTCGACAGAAACGGCCTCGCAATGCTTTCTGAGCTAAACTGCAAGGTCATCTTGATGAATAATTTCTGCTTGTATACTCCAAATGTATGTGATACAGTATGTAGACATTTCATGGGTGCTTGAATATGTGTTTAAAGCCATTGAAATATCTTTTTGTTAAACTGTAATACTGGAATGATAACAGATACTAACCTGAAAATTGCTCAATCTCCATTTGATTTTAAACTGAATCGCAACCAAAAAACGAAAATAATAATAAAATAAATAAATAAATAGACAAAACAAAATTATGCTTAAATTCATTATTTGAAGATATCCAAAATTTAGCTGTTTAAAGATTTTCTGCCTAAAGAGAAGATATAATAGAGGACAATTTTCATTATTTGAAAAGAAGGTGTCGTTGTGCTTTATTTGTTCCAAGATCAATCTTTAAAAAATGAAACTGTCTCTTTTCAGGTTCTAAGAATCAGGAAAATTGGTCCTTCACTTAGGATTCACGTATTTCGGAACTGGGATCTGTGGTGATAGTTCGTATAAAAGTTTGTTGAAATCTTCCAAAAGAATTGCTCTAGCAGCGAAATAATATCCAAGTTAAGAATGGCCCAGGATGTATTGTACTAGTACCATATACGCAAAAACCATTTCATTGGATAATGAATTGATCATGTGATAAAAAGATACCTTGAGATATTGTGCGATGGACAGACGGACGAACAACCTGCTCGCTATATTGAAACCGGTCAATGCATGTTCATTCCCTAGAATATTTGTACACACAATGCTTTTTAATACCGGTGTTTTGCTTGAAATGCATGTATTTATCGCTAATTTGAGGACGATGTTGACCCTGGAGGTGACAGAGTCAAAGTGAGTGTGATACAAACCATACCTTTATAGTCGTGAACATAATGTGTTTGTGCTATCTGTTTGTCTGTTGTCAACTTTAACCTCGCCCATTATATTGCACCATAAAAGGTATGGCTTTCATATCTTGCGTGCGTGTTCCATGTGACAAGACATTTCCGGTGATACCATTTTTTTCACTGTAATCTTGGTCGTAACCTTCGACCTTCATGTGAATTTTTTTTTTTAACATTTGGCATAACTATTATATCATATTCGGCATGTGTGTTCCTTGTGAAATGACCTTAACCACTCGACTACTGCGGCCTCATTATAAAGATTTGTTAAAAACTACATACAAACATAATGATTCAGTTCTTAATAATTTAGTCCAGATTGACTAACGATTGGACAATTATGCTGAGAAGGGTAATCAGCGGATATGATGAGATCAATAGTCATTTGTGAAATGTTTGGCATTTTGTGACACTGGTATTTAAACAATGGACAACAACAAAACAAGATAAAAACATTTAATGAAAATCAGAATAAATTAAATCTGTTACAGATAACTCTAGAAGCAGAATTATGGACCTGGAGTGCACGTGGTTTTTATAAACATGTGTGGCATAAAAAAGTAGATTGGTTATGCTTGGTTCTGATGATACGACTTATGGAACATGCGATCAGCTGCTGTAGCCTACATACGTACAAGCAATACGAGATTTTCTATTCTTGGATGACGTCATTGTTGATGAATGTATCGTTACGTTACAATAGGCATAATGATTGATACTTCAAATATATAAAGTAAGTTCAAAGAATGTTACACTATATGGTGAGGTCAAGGCCCTGTATCATCCATGTAAATAGAACGAGACGTGCGGTCTATACTCTACGGAAGATATGTTTCCGATAAAACGGACAAGTTGGAATCATTCTATGCACCATTTATTTTCATGCAAAACGGATAAGTGATCCGCAATTTTCGTTTGATGTCGTTATTCCTATGACGTAACTGACAAACGCTGATCGATCGGATTTGATCACGTGGTTCTCGGAAGAGTTATATGAAGCTACGAATTATATGGGTATTTCATAGGTTCTAAAACTTTAAAAGATCAATTTAATGTCATTATATCCTGTCACCTGAACATTTCTTTTTCTTTCTTTCTTTTTTTCAAAAACTTTATCGGATTTCACTTAGATTACCGCCTGTATAAAGTCCCTTGTACTAGTGTTTATACAGAGGTGTTACATCTGCTTAGAGCGATAGGTAGAGAGGAGGAGACGTGATTTATGCTTAATTGTGATCGGATAATGAAAAACGATATGTAGGCATGAATAAATTCTACAAATTTAAAGGAGAACACTTTAAAAGAAATCATTAAGATTTAATATATAATGATAGTAAATGTGCTACAACTGTTATTGATAATAAAATGAGTCAGTCCATCAACAAGGAAGAGCAGTACTCCATTGGAATTTTAGTTGGTGTTGTCCTCTTTTCAGATGGTGCAGTTGTACTCCTGTATAAATGAGGCGGCTCCTACTTTGAATAAGGTCTGGTATACTGCCTGATCCTGATCGGAACACAGGCCAGCGATACTATATCCCAAGTTGTTATAGGTGCCTGTTAAAGCCCTGTTATAAAACAATATATTTGATAAGTATATACTAGGAACAGATTTGAAATATCAGGATGCAGCTTAGCCAGTCCATATTAATATCTTTTAAAACAATTTTTCCAAAGGAAAAAGTTAAAATGATTTTTGTGAAAAACAAAATCTTTGTTGTATGCAGAAATGTTATTGTATCTCCATATGTTTTCGTAGATACACATCAGATGTTTCAAGCGATTATGATGAAAACAAACGTTCAAATTAATAAAAGTATTTCAGATATAGGAAACTATTTGTTCTGTTGTACGAAGTTTTATTTATTTTAAAACTTTCGCTGTTTTACAACAATTGTCAAACAATATTAAAACTTTGATAATTATTCTTGTTGGCCCGGATGGAAGTGCACTAGGGGTTTTACTTTCGAAGGAAACCAACGTTTCCGGTGAAAAGTGGTGGAACAAGTGACCCCCATACCCTTTCCACGTGCGTTCCAGGTATCGAACCCCGGACGCTTAGTTGAGCAACCCGACCACCTTTTTAGGGAATCTGAAATTTTACGTTGAAGTAATACAATGCATTCATAACTCGTTATACATGCAATAAACGCGTTTCCTACTTTGATTGTATGACATCAGAGCACCCTACCTCGTATTTTTGTTACAGTTGTTTTCAGTTATACCTACCAGCACATCATGTGGATCATATCGGTAGGTGTGGCGTTTGGCCAGCTGTGGATTGTGTCCACCTTTGCCGCCATTGACGTCATCGAAACGAAGATGGTAGCCTGTACCTCAAATTTGTTAAGACACGGAAGGAAGGACAACAATTCTGAAAAAGAACAGATGATATTATACACTAAACAAAACAAGGGAGAAACACACAAAACGGAAGAAACGGGAAAATCATATTAGCATATATCTATATTAACGTATTTATGTACGTACTTGTGTTAGGTAATTGTAAGTTGAAGGCATAATTCAGGAAGAATTCACAAACTGTGAAATACATGTAGCCTAGATATCCTAGATGAGGTGACCGGTTACGACTCCGGAGTTCGAAGCTTATAAGTTTATAAACATGTCTATATTTTTTCTTTCTTTAGGTCTTGCTTCGCAAGGGGTCGCTGCAGGGTTACGCTTACTATACTAACGGAAAAAAGTTTTTGTCCGGTGGTAAATATTTCAAATGTTTTATGGATGATCCTATCATTGTTAAGATGTTTATGTTAATTCCTTATTACTGATTAAAATTTGATAAGTTCTGTTGTCTTAACACAGACGGCGTTGGCATGGATAGCTTTTAAACGTGGATACCGTACGCCATTTCCTGATCAAAATCAATAGCGGGTGTGCCCACCTCGAGCTGCAGTCGCTGCTCTAACTCTCCTTACCATTGACCCCATCAAATTGTTGATGGTCCTTTGTGGGATGTTATTCCACTCCTGAAGAAGGGCCTGCGTGAGCTTAGCGACGTTGTTTGGTACGCTGACGCGCTTCCTGAACCTCCTGTCCAGCTCGTCCCACAAATGCTCGATCAGGGACAGATCTGGACTGTAGGGTGGCCAGTCGAGTACTGGGACATTGTTTTGGTCGAGTAAGTTACGAAATACCCTAGCAACGTGCGGCCTCGTATTATCCTGCTGCAACGTAAGGTTTCGCGCTTGGATTAATGGAAGGACATGAGGAATGAGGACCTGATCCCGATATCGGACAGCTGTAAGATTGCCTTGGATGATCACGAGAGGTGTTTTCACGCCATGAGAAATCCCCGCACAAACCATAACAGACCCTCCCCCGAATCTGTCGTTTTCTTTAACGCATGCGTCAAAATATCGTTCACTGCGACGTCGATAGCAACGTTTTTGTCCATCTGACCTGTACAACGTGAACCGAGACTCGTCCGTGAATAACACACGTCTCCAGCGGGCCAAGCGAAACCGATTTGGTGCATGTGCACGCAGCCATTGCATTCGACGTTGAAGTCGCCTGGGTGTAAGTTGCGGACCAACGGAGGGACGTCGTGGCCTTAAATTGAACTACCGCAACCGATTCCTAACTGTTCTTGGATACACACGGCGACCATGAGTGCCTACAATATGACTTGCCGTCTCCGTCACCGTCTGAAATCGGTTACGTAGGTGTGAGAGACGTATGCCCTGATCTTGACGTGGCGTCGTAACGCGTGGACGTCCGCTCCTGGAACGGTCAGCTAATCTTCCCGTGACCCCGAGACGCCCATTTAATCGAGCTATCGTTGACTCATGGACTCCAAATTGCTGGGCGACGAGACGTTGCGATTGGCCCTGTAGAATTCGGGCAATAGCCCTACCCCTATCAACTTCGGACATTCGCTGCATGCTGCTTTTTAATCGCCTTGGAATGAAATGTTGTGCACTGGATGTGTGCTGTTCAAAACTTGGATTTGGTATGGTTTTCAAGTTGATAGCACGCAGTAGTGCTACGGACGCACGCTTTGATGGAAAATCTGTTCAAATCGTGCAGCGTCGCCCGTGGTCACGGTTGACCGAATTTAAACCGACGATTATTTAGACAGTACACTGAGGTATTTATGTGTCACATTTCACAACATTTGGTCTACGGATAAAAAAGTGAATTTGCGTTTCTTTTCTCCGCTAGTATTTAAATAAGATGCTTAACCTCGTGAGACATCTGCGTCGCTAGTAACAACAATAATATTTATGAAACATGTGAATTATCGCACACATGAAATCACTTTTAAGCGACCAACATGTTTCGTCCTGTTGATCGTTGTCGTTCCGTCGTTCCACGATACGGAATATGGACAATATTAGTTTTCTCACATTCACTTCATGTTTAAGCTATTTCAAGTAAGGTTATTCCGTCATTTTGCTCTGTCGTTACGAAATCCATCATACCGAATATATATATAACGTACCATTGCCTCAGAAATAAAGTCAATTTCTGTGTAATTTTATAGGGGAAAGAATGTGTCTTTGATGTTACTTAGATTTCTTTTAAAATATTGGTTTTCTTTGAGTTCCATGGTTTAATGTAAACCCACAAAACCGGTACCGTGTCATTTCACCATTAACATCATCTCACTACCGTGTCTTCTCACCATTAACATAATCTCACTACCGTGTCTTCTCACCATTAACATAATATCTCTACCGTTTCATCTCACCATTAACATAATCCCACTACTTTGTCACTTCACCATTAACATAATCTCACTACCGTGCCTTCTCATCATTAACATAATCTCACGACCGTGTCTTCTCACCATTAACATAATTTCACTACCGTGTCTTCTCACCATTAACATCTCACTACCGTGTCTTCTTACCATTAACATAATCTTACTACCGTGTCTTCTCACCATTAACATCTCACTACCGTGTCTTCTTACCATTAACATAATCTCACTATCGTGTCACTTCACCATTAACATATTATCTATAACGTGTCTTCTCACTATTAATATAACCTCACTATCGTGTCTTTTCACCATTATCATAATCTCACTACCGTGTCTTCTTACCATTAACATAATCTCACTACCGTGTCTTCTCACCATTAACATAATCTCATTACCGTGTCTTCTCAGCATTAACATAATCCCACTACCGTGTCTTCTCACCATTAACATAACCACACTACCGTGTCTTCTCACCATTAACATAATCTCACTACCGTGTCTTCTCACCATTAACATAATCTCACTACCGTGTCTTCTCACCATTAACATCTCACTACCGTGTCTTCTTACCATTAACATAATCTCACTATCGTGTCACTTCACCATTAACATAATATCTATAACGTGTCTTCTCACTATTAATATAACCTCACTATCGTGTCTTTTCACCATTATCATAATCTCACTACCGTGTCTTCTTACCATTAACATAATATCTCTTCCGTGTCACATCACCATTAATGTAATCTCTCTTCTCACCATTAACATAATCTCTCACCATTAACATAACCACACTACCGTGTCTTCTCACCATTAACACAATCTCACTACCGTGTCTTCTCACCATTAACATCTCACTACCGTGTCTTCTCACCATTAACATAATCTCACTATCGTGTCACTTCACCATTAACATAATATCTATAACGTGTCTTCTCACCATTAACATAATCTCACTACCGTGTCTTCTCACCATTAACATAATCTCTCTACCGTGTCTTCTCACCATTAACATAATCTCACTACCGTGCCTTCTCATCATTAACATAATCTCACTACCGTGTCTTCTCACCATTAACATTATCTCACTACCGTGTCTTCTTACCATTAACATAATCTCACTACCGTGTCTTCTCACCATTAACATAATCCCACTACTTTGTCACTTCACCATTAACATAATCTCACTACCGTGCCTTCTCATCATTAACATAATCTCACGACCGTGTCTTCTCACCATTAACATAATCTCACTACCGTGTCTTCTCACCATTAACATCTCACTACCGTGTCTTCTTACCATTAACATAATCTCACTATCGTGTCACTTCACCATTAACATAATATCTATAACGTGTCTTCTCACTATTAATATAACCTCACTATCGTGTCTTTTCACCATTATCATAATCTCACTACCGTGTCTTCTTACCATTAACATAATATCTCTTCCGTGTCACTTCACCATTAATGTAATCTCTCTTGCGTGTCTTCTCACCATTAACATAACCACACTACCGTGTCTTCTCACCATTAACACAATCTCACTACCGTGTCTTCTCACCATTAACATCTCACTACCGTGTCTTCTCACCATTAACATAATCTCACTACCGTGTCTTCTCACCATTAACATAATCTCTCTACCGTGTCTTCTCACCATTAACATAATCTCACTACCGTGCCTTCTCATCATTAACATAATCTTACGATCGTGTCTTCTCACCATTAACATAATCCCACTACTTTGTCACTTCACCATTAACATAATCACTCTACCATATCTTCTCACCACTAACATAATCCCTCTACCGTGTCTTTTCACCATTAACATAATATCTATAACGAGTCTTCTCACCATTAACATCTCTCTACCGTGTCCTCACACCATTTACATATCCTCTCTACCGTGTCTTCTCACCATTAACATAATCCCACTACAGTGTCTTCTCACAATTAATATACTGTTACTACCGTATCTTCTTACCATTAACATAATCCCTCTACCGTGTCTTTTCACCATTAACATAATATCCATAACGTGTCTTCTCACCATTAACATCTCTCTACCGTGTCTTCACACCATTTACATATCCTCTCTACCGTGTCTTCTCACCATTAACATAATCCCTCTACCGTGTCTTCTCACCATTAACATAATCTCACTACCGTGTCACTTAACCATTAACATAATCACTCTACCGTGTCACTTAGCCATTAACATAATCTCACTACCGTGTCACTTAACCATTAACATAATCTCACTACCGTGTCACTTAACCATTAACATAATCTCACTGCCGTGTCACTTAACCATTAACATAATCTCACTACCGTGTCTTCTCACCATTAACATAATCCCTCTACCGTGTCTTCTCACCATTAACATAATCTCACTACCATGTCTTCTCACCATTAACATAATCTCACTACCGTGTCTTCTCACCATTAACATAATCTCTCTACCGTGTCTTCTCACCATTAACATAATCTCACTACCGTGTCTTCTCACCATTAACATAATCTCATTACCGTGTCTTCTCAGCATTAACATAATCCCACTACCGTGTCTTCTCACCATTAACATAACCACACTACCGTGTCTTCTCACCATTAACATAATCTCACTACCGTGTCTTCTCACCATTAACATAATGTCACTACCGTGTCTCCTCACCATTAACATAATCTCACTACCGTGCCTTCTCACCATTAACATAATCTCACTACCGTGTCTTCTCACCATTAACATCTCACTACCGTGTCTTCTTACCATTAACATAATCTCACTATCGTGTCACTTCACCATTAACATAATATCTATAACGTGTCTTCTCACTATTAATATAACCTCACTATCGTGTCTTTTCACCATTATCATAATCTCACTACCGTGTCTTCTTACCATTAACATAATATCTCTTCCGTGTCACATCACCATTAATGTAATCTCTCTTGCGTGTCTTCTCACCATTAACATAACCACACTACCGTGTCTTCTCACCATTAACACAATCTCACTACCGTGTCTTCTCACCATTAACATCTCACTACCGTGTCTTCTCACCATTAACATAATCTCACTATCGTGTCACTTCACCATTAACATAATATCTATAACGTGTCTTCTCACCATTAACATAATCTCACTACCGTGTCTTCTCACCATTAACATAATCTCTCTACCGTGTCTTCTCACCATTAACATAATCTCACTACCGTGCCTTCTCATCATTAACATAATCTCACTACCGTGTCTTCTCACCATTAACATTATCTCACTACCGTGTCTTCTTACCATTAACATAATCTCACTACCGTGTCTTCTCACCATTAACATAATCCCACTACTTTGTCACTTCACCATTAACATAATCTCACTACCGTGCCTTCTCATCATTAACATAATCTCACGACCGTGTCTTCTCACCATTAACATAATCTCACTACCGTGTCTTCTCACCATTAACATCTCACTACCGTGTCTTCTTACCATTAACATAATCTCACTATCGTGTCACTTCACCATTAACATAATATCTATAACGTGTCTTCTCACTATTAATATAACCTCACTATCGTGTCTTTTCACCATTATCATAATCTCACTACCGTGTCTTCTTACCATTAACATAATATCTCTTCCGTGTCACTTCACCATTAATGTAATCTCTCTTGCGTGTCTTCTCACCATTAACATAACCACACTACCGTGTCTTCTCACCATTAACACAATCTCACTACCGTGTCTTCTCACCATTAACATCTCACTACCGTGTCTTCTCACCATTAACATAATCTCACTACCGTGTCTTCTCACCATTAACATAATCTCTCTACCGTGTCTTCTCACCATTAACATAATCTCACTACCGTGCCTTCTCATCATTAACATAATCTTACGATCGTGTCTTCTCACCATTAACATAATCCCACTACTTTGTCACTTCACCATTAACATAATCACTCTACCATATCTTCTCACCACTAACATAATCCCTCTACCGTGTCTTTTCACCATTAACATAATATCTATAACGAGTCTTCTCACCATTAACATCTCTCTACCGTGTCCTCACACCATTTACATATCCTCTCTACCGTGTCTTCTCACCATTAACATAATCCCACTACAGTGTCTTCTCACAATTAATATACTGTTACTACCGTATCTTCTTACCATTAACATAATCCCTCTACCGTGTCTTTTCACCATTAACATAATATCCATAACGTGTCTTCTCACCATTAACATCTCTCTACCGTGTCTTCACACCATTTACATATCCTCTCTACCGTGTCTTCTCACCATTAACATAATCCCTCTACCGTGTCTTCTCACCATTAACATAATCTCACTACCGTGTCACTTAACCATTAACATAATCACTCTACCGTGTCACTTAGCCATTAACATAATCTCACTACCGTGTCACTTAACCATTAACATAATCTCACTACCGTGTCACTTAACCATTAACATAATCTCACTGCCGTGTCACTTAACCATTAACATAATCTCACTACCGTGTCTTCTCACCATTAACATAATCCCTCTACCGTGTCTTCTCACCATTAACATAATCTCACTACCATGTCTTCTCACCATTAACATAATCTCACTACCGTGTCTTCTCACCATTAACATAATCTCTCTACCGTGTCTTCTCACCATTAACATAATCTCACTACCGTGTCTTCTCACCATTAACATAATCTCATTACCGTGTCTTCTCAGCATTAACATAATCCCACTACCGTGTCTTCTCACCATTAACATAACCACACTACCGTGTCTTCTCACCATTAACATAATCTCACTACCGTGTCTTCTCACCATTAACATAATGTCACTACCGTGTCTCCTCACCATTAACATAATCTCACTACCGTGCCTTCTCACCATTAACATAATCTCACTACCGTGTCTTCTCACCATTAACATAATCTCTCTACCGTGTCTTCTCACCATTAACATAATCTCACTACCGTGTCTTCTCACCATTAACATAATCTCATTACCGTGTCTTCTCACCATTAACATAATCCCACTACCGTGTCTTCTCACCATTAACATAACCACACTACCGTGTCTTCTCACCATTAACATAATCTCACTACCGTGTCTTCTCACCATTAACATAATCTCATTACCGTGTCTTCTCACCATTAACATAACCACACTACCGTGTCTTCTCACCATTAACATAATCTCACTACCGTGTCTTCTCACCATTAACATAATGTCACTACCGTGTCTCCTCACCATTAACATAATCTCACTACCGTGTCTTCTCACCATTAACATAATCTCACTACCGTGTCTTCTCACCATTAACATCTCACTACCGTGTCTTCTTACCATTAACATAATCTCACTATCGTGTCACTTCACCATTAACATAATATCTATAACGTGTCTTCTCACTATTAATATAACCTCACTATCGTGTCTTTTCACCATTATCATAATCTCACTACCGTGTCTTCTTACCATTAACATAATATCTCTTCCGTGTCACTTCACCATTAATGTAATCTCTCTTGCGTGTCTTCTCACCATTAACATAACCACACTACCGTGTCTTCTCACCATTAACACAATCTCACTACCGTGTCTTCTCACCATTAACATCTCACTACCGTGTCTTCTCACCATTAACATAATCTCACTACCGTGTCTTCTCACCATTAACATAATCTCTCTACCGTGTCTTCTCACCATTAACATAATCTCACTACCGTGCCTTCTCATCATTAACATAATCTTACGATCGTGTCTTCTCACCATTAACATAATCCCACTACTTTGTCACTTCACCATTAACATAATCACTCTACCATATCTTCTCACCACTAACATAATCCCTCTACCGTGTCTTTTCACCATTAACATAATATCTATAACGAGTCTTCTCACCATTAACATCTCTCTACCGTGTCCTCACACCATTTACATATCCTCTCTACCGTGTCTTCTCACCATTAACATAATCCCACTACAGTGTCTTCTCACAATTAATATACTGTTACTACCGTATCTTCTTACCATTAACATAATCCCTCTACCGTGTCTTTTCACCATTAACATAATATCCATAACGTGTCTTCTCACCATTAACATCTCTCTACCGTGTCTTCACACCATTTACATATCCTCTCTACCGTGTCTTCTCACCATTAACATAATCCCTCTACCGTGTCTTCTCACCATTAACATAATCTCACTACCGTGTCACTTAACCATTAACATAATCACTCTACCGTGTCACTTAGCCATTAACATAATCTCACTACCGTGTCACTTAACCATTAACATAATCTCACTACCGTGTCACTTAACCATTAACATAATCTCACTGCCGTGTCACTTAACCATTAACATAATCTCACTACCGTGTCTTCTCACCATTAACATAATCCCTCTACCGTGTCTTCTCACCATTAACATAATCTCACTACCATGTCTTCTCACCATTAACATAATCTCACTACCGTGTCTTCTCACCATTAACATAATCTCTCTACCGTGTCTTCTCACCATTAACATAATCTCACTACCGTGTCTTCTCACCATTAACATAATCTCATTACCGTGTCTTCTCAGCATTAACATAATCCCACTACCGTGTCTTCTCACCATTAACATAACCACACTACCGTGTCTTCTCACCATTAACATAATCTCACTACCGTGTCTTCTCACCATTAACATAATGTCACTACCGTGTCTCCTCACCATTAACATAATCTCACTACCGTGTCTTCTCACCATTAACATAATCTCTCTACCGTGTCTTCTCACCATTAACATAATCTCACTACCGTGTCTTCTCACCATTAACATAATCTCATTACCGTGTCTTCTCACCATTAACATAATCCCACTACCGTGTCTTCTCACCATTAACATAACCACACTACCGTGTCTTCTCACCATTAATATAATCTCACTACCGTGTCTTCTCACCATTAACATAATGTCACTACCGTGTCTCCTCACCATTAACATAATCTCACTACCGTGTCTTCTCACCATTAACATAATCTCACTACCGTGTCACTTAGCCATTAACATAATTACTCTACCGTGTCACTTAACCATTAACATAATCACTCTACCGTTTCACTTAACCATTAACCTAATCACTCTACCGTGTCACTTAACCATTAACATAATCTCACTACCGTGTCACTTAACCATTAACATAATCACTCTACCGTGTCACTTAACCATTAACATAAATTCGCTATATTTTAGGATAATATTATTTTATTTCCTGGTTTCCTTATCATTATAAATGTTATAATTTCGTTATGTCACCATGAGTCATAGTCAACTCAGGCCGTCTTATTTATCTTTGATTTTCCTATCATTTGGATTACAACTAAAACCTTGCTACACACGTTTTCAGCATCTTACCTGATTTGCCTGGCTCCAAACAAATCTGTGTATATTGTTGAGTAAAATGTTGGTTCATCTCGGCCGCGTCTTCACAATTAGAAAGTTCTCCGATGTAGCCACATGCTATTACTCCACTCATAGCCCTGCCAAAGTCAATATAGGTACGGAATCACACAGGGCTTGATAGTGCCAGTATGTATGGTAGAGATAATAGCGATATACATTTTAATAGATAAACTGTGATAGTTTGTGATAGATGTAGACATTTTTAGATATGCGTGTATTTATACATTGATCACCATTCAATATGAATTTAGAATTAAATAAATTAGAGCCAAAAAATGAATTAAAGTGCATCATTCAGCTGTTTCGTCCTTCTAGGAAAGCAAATAATGCCAAAATCAAGAATGAAGAGTTGAAGTTGATTATGGTAAAGTATTCGCCGGTGTTAAACAGTTTCCTTTAAAGGGACATTCCTGCGTTAGACAGACAGAATTATGCTACCCTACCATTTTTCAAATTTATGCCTTAAAAAGGACCATACAAATACATGTGCCTGCCGGTGATGAAATGAGCATTGAATTAAACACCTATTGTGTTTAATCATTGTCTTGTTGGCACTTGAACAATTTGCTTTCACGTGACATCGGCATGAGTATTCCCTCCCAATAGCTAGCTTCATGTAAAAAAATATTGGCAAAAATATGTTTAATATCCGAATATGATGTAGGTAGAAAGTTCAACAAAAGGCCCATCTGGACCTGTATCGACCACCTGGCTTTGTTTGGCTGAAATTGTCCCATCCACACTAGAAGACAACGAATTCTAAATATCCAAGCTCGCATCACATATAATATGTATTTCCCTTTATTGGGTCAGCCAAGCCATTCATGCTTCAGATCAATTTGGGACAGAATCCTGCTATTCCCACAGAAGAAAGATTTTAAAGAATTTTTTTCTATATCTCCTACAATGGGTCCTGTCCCTCTCACCAGAAAATGCTTCACGCCAAATTGAGACAGAATTCGAGCAGTGGAAGTAAAGTTGTAAATGATTTTGCACTAGCTGAGAACCGCCATTTAAACGTAAAAGTATCCTTGTGACTGATTTTGGGCAAAATCCAATCATTTCTACAGGAGGAGTAAGATTTTGAAGGACTTGTTCTTTTTCCCCTTTTGGGCCTCGCCCCTCGGGCCTCTTGGGCCAAGACAACCCGTTTATACAAAACTGATTCCCCAACCATAAGGATTTCCTACAAGGATGCTTTCGACCAAAGGTTGAAATCCGCACAATTGTTCATGACTAGTAGCGATTTGTAGAAAAAAATTGACGGACGGAAAGACAAAGGACGCACGGTATGCCATCAACTCACCGGATCTTCGGACCAGGTTGCCATTTTGCTTTACGTCTAAATCGAAGCGTACCTGTTTTCCCGTGTGCCACCTTTCACTGGCTTTGTTTATATTGGTTCGACTTTTCTGTCGGTCTCGAACTTTATCATTTTAGATTTCGTTTCTTAGTTGACTTATAGCTAACGCACTCCAACAAATCGCCAGCCATCTGTTTTGTGTTCGTAAACTACAACAACTTGACATGGCTTGCTCGTATTTAAACACACTATCAGGATTATTTATAACAAACTTTCATTACATATGTTCAACTAGGAAATGTCCCTTTAATATGAATACAATCAAGTGATTTTATTTGAAAGCTGACTGGATGTACGTCAATATTACTTAAGCTGTAAATATAATTCAATGAAGATAGGTAAGAAAAGGAAGTGGGCTTCCTTTCAATGAATAATCATACTAGGGGTTAAAAATAATATTGCTTGTAATGGTATACCTGCATAAATCATCTATGTAAGAAGGCGTTATGGTGTAGCCTTCTTTAATGGATCCAGATGGGGGTGGAGGCTCAGTTTGCCGTAAACACGTGTAGTATTCCCGACATGGTCTGTCCGATACGTGTATCTCAGTTGCGTTCAGTATCTCGATGTCAGCTGGCACAGGTTCTTCAACTTTCTGCTGGTGACTGCGAACTTGTCTGGTAAAGTCTCGAATACTAAAAGCTAAAAATGTACATAATTATATGTACTGCATGAAATTATTACATCGTGGTTTTTTTTCGAAGCTCATCTACAACCTCCTGTGCCCTTGCCCCCTCCCCTTACTCCCCTGATAAGTCATTTTGACTGGTAACACCCCTCCCCACTTGGCGCTACGCCTTCCGTAAACCGTTAGCGACACGAGTTTTTATAGTATCATTATTAAACGGATATTGTTATTGTCTTTTTTTATTTTAGTGATTTCGATAGATTTACATACATGTAAGTTTTAACCTTTTTATATGTATGCCCAATGGAATACAATTGGAAAATGAAAATTCTCGTTTAGGGGCTTTAAAATTATAGATCTTTATGAAATGTTGTTGGTTTTATAACCATGGCATTAAAATGTATTTTCCTAATCAACATTTAGATTAGATAATTTTTTGAGTTTTTGTTTTTTTCTACATTTTCAATACATTAAGTCAAGCGATTAATTATCTCGGTATTTGACCGATGTCAGTATACAACGTACTAAATGCGATATTAGCACGCCAAGATGATTAAATTTTTTTAACCAAGTCTTGATAGTCAATTATCGATCGTAAACTGTACAACTGTCAAAAGACTTTTAAGGAGATATTTGTAACGAAGAAATGACGCTATATAAACTATGGTAAAAATAATTTACCTAGAGCGATAAATCCGCGCATGCGCGATGCAGTAGGTCATCAATAGATGCATATGTTCTAAAAATTGGTATACTATGTGATTAAAACATATTGCATTGTTTTCTAAAAGTCGTGCTGTGGTGCCACTTCAGGAGGCTCTAAGATGAAAGATAAGAAACTCCCAGTTCTCCGTAGGATTCTAGACCAATAACTAATCATACAGACTTTTATACTGTTTACACTGATAAAGTATCCGTTCTTCCTACGCCATATAACTAGGCGCGCTTCTTTTAAATCTAAATAAAATTTTACAAAACTTTTAATGTATACATGCTATTGTCTCTGTGTTTGTATATCCCTATGCATTACAGCCATAAGATAAGAAATACTTTTTTTAATATCATACACAGCAATAGTAGATATCATTATATCATTATTCTTAGCATACACAAAAGAGCAGGTACGAGAGAGAAAACAGTGCCCAAGTAATTAACATTTTTAACCATTTCTATTTCTTCGCCATCAAAATTAAAAGTAAGAAAGTTCTGGTAACGACTCTTTGTGAATATGACACTTTTTGTTTCGTTGATATTAAGTTTGCGTTTTCAACATCTACAATGTCCTTTAAAAATATCTCTGTAAATCTTGCGGGCATTCGGAGAACAGCATTGTGTTATCCGCATATTGCGAAACGTCCTTGAATTTCGTTATTTACACAGCTTGCACTTATGATGTTATTTTATCTAATGTCAAGGTCGTAAGACTAGTTGACTTTATATGACATCTTAACATGACAAGTCGTGTTAACATTTTATCCCTGTACAGGACTGGATATCTCTTACTTCAACAATTTGAAGAAGACAAAGCTGACACTAAGTCGCTTGTTCAACTACTAATTCAATACCAATTTTTCCATCCCTAGTTTTTGGTAGTCTGACCTACCATTATCATTACAACATCGCTTTCATTCTTGGATGCACATTTTAAAATGTCATTCTAATTTCTGTAATTACTGTCTAAAGTACTGTCAGCGGTAAATTGTAGCCTCCTAAATGTCAACCAAGCTTGAAAGGTTACAAAACAAGATTATCTGTTTCAACATAGTCGGTTTGCTCTTCATAACGAATTGGTAAGTAGAAAATTGCCTAGAATTACACACGTCACTGTGGTACGAAGTATGATACAACATGGGGAAAATTGTAGCAAAATAGAAGGTAAATAAAATATATTTATCGTTTTGGTCTCCTGGATAATACCAGTGAAGATAGAAATAGTCGCTATACTGACTATATGAAAGCTAAACAAAGCGCTGTCATCATGCAATTTTTAATCGAAACGAATTTGTCAAAAAACAAAAAGTTGGGTTTATTTTCCTTTCTCTTTTTTTCTGGAAATTTCACACGAGACAGAAAGATATAATTTCTTTGTAAATATTAAGACTACATATCAACAATTTGACGCCAAATTATAAATAAACATAGCATTTGAATCGAGTTACACAACAACATCAAAACAATCTGTAACGTCTTTAAATGTCACATTTAACTATAATTTAGTGTTCAATTATTGATATTGTAAGAAGAAAGAAAAGAAATATTAGATAAAGAGGAAGGTTGGTAACACTATGTTGTAATAAATTTTCATTTTCGGTAATTGTTGTAACATTGAAATTCTGACAAACAAATGATGTATATTTTATGTTAGATACATTAGACCCAAACAAGGATTTAAACAGCATCATACAGATGATTTATCCTTCAAAGACTCGTCAGTGGTGTTAACGCCTAAGATGCGACTTTAAAAAAAATGAAAGAAAGAAATTGCCAATTCTAAATGGAGAAGTGCACAAAGCCCAATAATCGGTAGTTAGGAAGGAAAATCGGTCATACTTTTAAACTCTAATATTGCAAACAAACTTCCTAACAATTATCTCACATTGTCTTACCTGAAATACATGTACTTGACGCCAACACCGCTGCTACGAGGACGAGGGGAGACATGCTGAAACCTAGAGGTGACGTGGTGAATATGACGGAGCCCCACACAAAACATACATTTATAGGGAGACGTAATGGACTATAATGATTCAATTGTTGATGATCTAGCGAAATTGTTTTGAAACTGTCGTCGCACCCAGTTAATAGCTACTTATTTTAACATTATGTATAATCATATATGTATCAGAAATTTAAATCTCGGTTTCTTTCATACCAAAAGTTACGCAATCCTGTTTGGCCCATTTTCACATGATAATTGAAATTTTCGCTTAGAATTATCAAACAAACGTGCTATTGTGCGATTTTTTCTTAGTCGGTTGCCTTGGTAGCCGTGTCACAATACATGGGTATGTGTGTCCTTGTCATAATTTTATTCCAATTTGGCTAAAGAGTAGTTGCTATGGGAAAAAATTACGTATATGGAAAGGCAAATATATTGGTATTAGTTTTAAATACGTTGGTTCCCCTTGGTTGCCATGTCAACCAAAAGAAGATCTACGATTTGACGAAATATTTTCAGAACTGCTACTCCTAACCTTAAAAGTTGTCAACCGAATCAAATTGAAAGAAACCTTGGATAGGTACATGGAAATATTAGGAACAATACGTGTATGTGCGTGCACTTTCTATACAACACGGTACAAGTCATACATTTCGTCAAACGTTTCGGTCACTGCGACTGATGTGTAAACTTTTTGCCTCTGTGTGTATAGGGTAGGGGGATGGGGGTAGAGAAGAGAGATTGTTGTCTTCAAGATAACACTTCTAGTTTGTACAGACTTACATTGACAAAACTTTAAAAATCAGTTACTCTTAATGAATGTAACGGTCTTAGTGTGCTTTGCCAAAATCATAGAGAGATGAAAATTTGCTACGGTTTTTTTATATATAGAAAATGACGTTAATAGATGAGGTTGTGTTATATGGATAGTCAAGCGTTGGGAGGATTGTGTGCCGAATTCCATACGATATCATTGTCAGTGGATATCAAATGGTTGGTTTCTGCTGGGATAATGACTTAGACGGGCTACAAGTTATTTTTCAGAATTTGTCTACGAGCCTCTCCCTTTCTTGTGAAACTAAAATCAAATAACTTTAAAAAAAAAATTTATTTATTGCAATATTCCAGAGATAGTGACCAGCCAATTGATAACTGTAGATATTATTTCCATCCTGTGTGCTTTGAAGTCGTGGTGGTTGGGATACTTGAGGGTGTAGTTAAGGAAGACCATCCTGATTTCGTTGCTATGCAAGGAATGTTTGTTTTTCTGTATCTAAGTGGTTAGGACAGTGTCATCATAGGACTGTGTGGCGCCATTGTTCACTTACCATTTCTGTATCTTTTTCAGCAACAGATGCTGAATCATGATTACACCATGTAATGAATGCTTGAAGTTAAAGTAGCATTTTAACAAAATGAAAAATAATATTGTTAAGTCTGCGTTCTCTGCCTTTGTCTTTTTATGATGTTTTCTATATCTTCTAAATCTTCGAGGTCTAGACAATGATCAGACAACGTGTATTGAACTGAAGGAGGGAGTATTTTTATAAAGTAACACACCTGGCCCAATAGTTAAAACAAAGGGTTTTCTTTTCTTCTTTTGATTTTAAAGAGCATGTGAGGGAGAATTAAAAACAGGTATACATTTACCAGGTAACGCTTTCGTTACTCCTACTTAGTGATTTATAAAGAAATGTAGTGGATCCACAGAGTGAAGCTTCTGGTCGTTCAAAAAATCTTGTTAAGTCTGCAACAGAATTTTTGGTTTAAACAATATTTTATTTTCAGATTTTCATTTACAACATAAACATACACAAATTATAAAATTGAAAATGGATCTGGCAACAAGATTATAAATCTTATCTTAAGCCATCTCCAAGAATGTTTACACCGAAGCTGGTATGCAGAGAGTGCAGGAGGACTGTCAGCCACTATAAATGTCACGCCTGAATCCGCATTCTTATCTGTCAATATATGCTTATTTTAATCAATTAATAACCAAAACAAATTAATTCCTTCTTGAAAGGTTGCTGAGGCAATTCCTAGCCTTTGTGTTCAGTATATATGGTAATAACACCTAAAATTGATGTTGTGTGCATTAGCGTGTTTCCTATTTACGTATATTGCATGATATTGTAGACAGCAAATTGCTGCAGATGTCGTGACTTTAAAACGTCACCATAAAATGGGTTTTCCGCAAATAGCAATTTTTTTATTGAAATTATAATTCATTATGATAATGTCACGATTTACAGTTTAGAGTTATTTTAAACTTGCCATTTTGTTATCATTAGCAGAATTAGAGGCCTCTGTCGTGAACGCCAGACATAAGTAAACGCTACCGCTGTATCAAAAAGCTGGATGTGATGTTTCAAATGATTTACTTTTTAAACAAGAGGCCTTAGTGGTTGTCTGTGTTCTATAAATACTGTCGTTGTTCTGGTAGGATATAATATAAAAGTAAGATAAATTAATTCTACATTACTTCAAATGTAAAGTGTATATCACATTAACTGCCATGTCATGTTAATGATAATGACAACGCTTGATCTAAAATAAAATACCAAAATTGTGTGGGTTTTTTTCCATCTTAACTATAGTAAACTTTACCCCTCCACTGAGGTCATAAATTCATAATTCAGACCTTCCCATATATATATATATATATATATATATATATATATATAGCCCCCGCCCATCAGCCCCTATGGGGTCACAGCAAGGGTTAATAGGTGCATTCATTCTAACTATCATCTGAAGACAAATAGTTCTGTTTGCATTGTTTCCAAAAGAAATTAAACATATTACGCTTATATTATCGTTTTTCTATATAAGCTATACTAAACTTTATTTACAATCTTGGCAAAGCAACTAAGAACCTCTCATCCATGAAGAGCATTTTATTAGTGTTTTTTTTTCAAATGATTGTGAGTGTCTTTGAACCGTTTTTTTTTTTTTTTTTTTTTGAAAATTGAGTCAATTTGACTCCTTTTGCCCCCGCACCTCCCTCAGGTTCCCTATGTAGGAAATGAGTTTTCAGATCCTATAACCTTGTAATTTTATCTCACCTTTGGCCATGCAAGGTTTCTGCAAAATTTCATTTGAATTCGTTCATGGGTTTTTGAGGAGTTGAAAATGTCATTTGTTTACGGATGGACGGACGAAAAATAAAGGCTGTTGCAATAGCTGTTGACAACCGCAAATTATTAGTTAAAGCATTTCCTCGCAAAAGCAGGGACCTTTAAAGCTCGGTCAGTGGTGTGGTGACCTATATGATCTCGGATAGAGACCCGTGCTGTGTGTATGTAATGCTTCGGCATGTGCTGTCGTGTCGATAATAAGGACACTCCATCTAAATTGCTCTAGATGACATGCGACGGGTATCCCGTATGTTGTTCAGTGAAGTTGGTTTTATTTACTTCTGTCTCTGTACAATTTACTCCCCGTAGTTTGCTGTAACCTGCATGCCACGATTTACTCCATTCTTTCAATAGCACGATTCAGAATATATACTTTACCACTTTACTTTCTTTTGAAATAATTAAATATTGAAAAATATATTGAATTCTTGGAGTTAATGCACCTCCCCATTTTTTTTTAAACATTATTCGACCAATTTGGTCACCTCTTATATTTTTTAACAACAAATATCTCACCAACACTGACAAGTCCTAGAAGGACAAAACAGTTGTAAGATGTTTAATGAATTATTTGACTCTACTATGTCTAATCTAAATTTGCATTGAAAGGTATGGTTTCTTTACTTTCTTTCTCTTTTCTCCGGTAGTTCCGTTACCACATGAAACAGGCATAAAGACAAGACATATTTCAAGCATACCTTTTGGTTTATATCTGTCTTGATGTCCAGTAGCAATAGGCAGAATCTCTATCTTACAGTATTATGGCATCAGTCCTTCTTGTCGCTGTATTTTGGAGAAATACTGGATGGGTAATTTTCAAATTTCATCTGTAGGGTTCCCTTTGTCCCTAATTTTGCAACATGACCGAAAGGCGGCCATATTGGATTCTGATAATTAAAGTTTGCTACTGTTATTTCTGGAGATGCACTACATGGATATTTCTCCAATTTCATAAGAAGGCTCCACTTGGTCGTTAGTTGTGCTTGTTTAATTTTGGGACTGGTCAGAAAGACAAGATGGCAGACAGACGGCTGTCTTGGATTTTGACTGATTTTTTTTTTATGTGTAAGTTGTACTTAAATGCTAATTTAGTTAATCAGACTCTTCGAAATTTTTAAAATTTTTTTTCAAAATACGGAAATAGACACTGCAATTGCATTGCAATACCCTAATTACTGATACGAATTACGATAGTTCTCTGCCTAGTAAATTTTATACTACCAGAAGTTTTGAGCCCCTAAATTGTAAAACTACCAACATTGTTTATGGTAATGATTGTGCTCTGTGTGGTTTAACATTTGTTGGTGAAACAATAGGACAGTTAAAACAACTATAATTTGCCAACGTTTAGTAGTGAACCGAGGAGAGAATCAACATTTCAACTGTCGATGAATGTCCTTTGGAGAAAATTTACTACCGTACAAATGACCCCCACACTGAGCACACAACGTGAGGAACATTATTTTAGACTGCTTGGCACTGTTGCGCCATATGTCTGTAATGACCGCGTGGACAGGAAATGGACTTGTTCAGTTTTAGATGACGTTTGAAAATGTACTGGATACTTTACAGAAACCACTAGATGTCCATCATGTTCGAACTACGTTATATTCACTTCCTCTCTCCATGCTACGAAAATTCCAAGTGGATTAAGATAAAACTGCTTCTGGTGACCTGTAGAAACTAGCTTTGAGACTTCATAAAATTATTGGTGATGTGGCACAAATCAGGCCCTTTTAACCTGTCCGTAGTGACAGCCGCTGGTCTAAACTACTGACCACCATTCAAAGTATTATCAAATCTGGGTTATACTTATTGTAATACTGTTTCCTCAAGAAGTGGAATTAATAGTATGTGGATTTTGAAGAGCTTTT